ATCGACTATTCCAAAGATGGATTTAGATGAATATCCTTTGTACACACCATTAAGGAGACTAAGAAAATTCTAGTATTAGTGAAGAGCTAGGACATAATTTATATTCTAGCATTTTTAATTTGTTTTAATTAATTTTTGTTAACACATGTATGTACTTATACAAGTAAAAGAAATATTAAATCTCGACTATAAATTATGTTTTAGTGGCATTCAAATTTGCACCTATACAATTAAACAGATTGTTAATCGAATTATTATATTGAAGGATGGGAAAATTCTGGAAAAAATTAATATAACCTCGATTTTCATTTTTGATAAACTAAAATAAATCTTCGTGCAATATACGGCATTCTCTTATGACAGGAACATTTCAGAAGAGTCGCATGTTTGAATATTTGGCATATATCTTTATTAAAAACTGTCATTTTATATATTAAAATTTTTATTAATTTTGTTCCACCAAATCTAGCAGACCACTGCGGTCGAATTCGGGTAGCCATTTTATAATAATATCTTGAAGCCTCTTGTTGGTGTACATAGATTTTCTGAAGTTTCGGCCCCGTTCATCGTCCACCATGAGTCCATTGAAGTCGGCATCCTTCGTTTCTTCGTTGAGCATTATGGCCTGGCAGGTCAGACATGCGGTGACGGCTATAAAGGTATATATATATGTATATATAAATATAGCTTCCATCAAACAATTGAATCAACTGCTCTCACCCATGAATTTTCCTTTTTCGAGTTGCAACACCAACTGCCTGAGCGTGGGTATATAGCCACTAAAATTCAGTTCACGCAGGGTATCTACCAGCACCTTGTGATAGTATTGGATCAGGGCGCTTAAGTGGCTGTTGCGCACCTCAGGCACGAGTGAGGTGTAGAAGAAGTAAAAGAGATCCACGGCAGGCGGTGCCCAGGCTGAGAATTGAAAGTCAATCAGCAGCAAGTCCAGCTCGCTGTGAGCAGTCTTTTTTCTCAGCATTATATTGTTTGTCCACAAATCGCCGTGAGTTAGAGTATTGAACTCGTTTTCTTGTGGATCGTAGACTTTCTCCGTATACTCCATCACATGCTTCTGCAGACCTCTGAGCTTGTCCTCGTATACCTTGCCCAGCTCTGGACACTGCCCGGCAAAGTCGGCGGCCATGCCCATCAGGCTCTCAAACATGGGCGTGAATCCTCGGGTGTGACGATTGAAAATACCATGATCCAGTTTGGGGAGGAGTCCGGGCTGGCGCTCATTGAGCACTGATGAGCAGGCGTGCATCTTTGCCAGCTTTCGGAGCACAAGCCGTGTGTGCTCCAAGTCGAAGCCGGTCAAGCGGTCGCCCAGCACGTAGTTCAGTACAGCGAGGTCCTCAAAGATGATGGCCGAGTGCTCGTAGTCTACATGGATCGTCTTGGCAAATAGCTTCTCCGATTGTGACGTGCCCTCTAGGAGAAGAGTTAGCTGGGGAAGGATCTTATCGTACATGACCATTTCAGTGTGGCTCGCTTGGTAGCTGGCGAAGATGTTTGATATGAACGGATCGTTCTCATAGGTGGTCTTCACAATGAAGAACTCCGTTTCGCATTGCGTGCTTCCACCTGGGATGTAGTCAACTTTGATCCTGGTCATTATGCTGGCATAGTTGTCGCCCTTGGCCGTCGCTGGCTTAATATTTAGATTTCTAATGCTCAGCCCTCCGTCCTGCTTATGGTGCCTGAGAATAGTTTCCACATAGGACTCGGTCAGCCACTGTGGGGCAGGATGAAAGCTGTCCCCATCTTGGCTGCCGTTGCTGTTGCCGCTCTGTATTTCAACCATGTTAAGATGAGTCTCGAGTCTCGCAACGATTCGCAAAGTACTCGCAATTTATAGTCTGAGGCTCGCATTCATTCCGAAAGCTATGTGTATATAATCTTGCTTATGGCAGTCGTAAAGCTGGCCGAGCTAGACAATTGTCCTATCTATGTCTGGCTGGCATACGTGGTTACATAAGATTAGAAATATATACATATCTATTAATTTCAATCTGAATTTGCGTTGTCATAGGAACAGAAATAAGATTACTATTTACATAGCAGATACGTCAGACACGGAATCGGATAGTTGTATAGAGAATTAGGTATATTGTAGAAGGTATAAAATAAGCGTGCGCTTCATAAAATATTCAGATTTTCAACAACTTTATCTACCGTGTAGTTCATAAAGTATATAAGGTGTATATAGTGTATATGTATGTATATGAGAGCTATTTTCCACAATAAAGGTAGAGCATATGAGTGGATAGTTTCACTTATTAGCTTTGCGATTCCATTCTCAACGACCATATTCTAGCATTGAAGAGCATATCTATATTTGAAACATTCTCGTTGTTGTCCTCGGCTTATAGACGTGGTGAATCGGCCGTAGATCGGTAGAATAGGTATACATATTCGCGGCGAGAACTTATTTTAAATATATGTATATATATGTATATATGTATATATTCTTAATGACAATTATACATATGTACATATAATCTTAATCACGAAAGAGCTTACAATATTGTCACATACTTATGCTTGAAATATTAAATGCATGTTCATATATACCATATATAGTAAGAGATGATCAGCTTTTACAATTGTATAAGCATAGTTTGAACTCTGTATGTCTTGCAAATACAAATATAATTTTCGCAGGGGAGGGAGAGCCCCTCAAACTGCATTGGAAATAGTAGAGAGTATTGCTTTGGCAAGTATACACATCTCACTGTCAATATCACGCTCTCAAATTAAATCAACAAATTTGATTTTAAGGCAAGCTGATTGAAATAAAAGCTCTAGACGGCGTTCAGGGTATCTCCTATTCTTTACTTCGACTTCTTTATTCAAGAGTATTTTTCGATATATGGATTGCATAAATAACACCAATTTTATTTACATCTCATCGAGCAGTCCTTTGTGTTCTAAAATAGGCAAGATTTCTCTTAGTTTCCTTTGGTATAGCTCGCTTTTATAGACAGCAACTCGCACAGCCGCATCGGCCACAGAGTCAGACAGCGCTTTTTCGATGGAGAATTCCTCGGGCCCAGTGTGCAGCATGGCAGCCAAGAATACCAATGAGCAGAAAACACCTATGCAATAGAAACATGTATTTATTTAAAAGTTTCGACTTAAGGCGCGAGCTCATTACCATAGAAGCCACGCGCTTGAAATTGCTGTTGAAACTCAAATAGGCTGGGCACTTGACCCTTGTATTTCAGTTTAGTTAGTGCCTCCACAAGATTCTGGTAGTAGAAATGGACTAGCTCGGCCTGATGATACCTAAACAGATCGTTCTGCACCGAGGTGCAGAAGAAGTAGTGCAGATCGATAGCCGGCGAGCTCCAAACGCTAAACTGAAAGTCTATGAAGATCACATTGTCCGGTGTGCCATCGTTCAGGTAATTGAACATGATATTTGTAGTCCATAGATCGCCGTGGCAGAGAGTTGCAAAGTCTCCCTTGTTTAGCTCCATCGTCCGCTCGCCGTATTCCATGATGTGATCGATGACTCCGTTCAGCTTAGCTGCATAGCGCTTATGCAGGGCCTTGTCATCCTCGATGGATGTTATTAGGGCTCTCAGCATATTCTGCATAATGGGCTTGTAGGCTTGGGTGTATTTATTGAAGAAGCACCGATCGTATTTCTGGCCGTAAATCCCTGGCTGCCGCTCGTTGAGCACCGCTCCGGCTGCATGAAATTTCGCCAGTTTTTCCAGCACCAACCGAACGTGATTCAGATCCAATTGCTTCAAGCGATCCGCGACAGAGTATTTGTCCAAGGACATGTCTTCAAACATAATCGAGTCGTGCTCTCGATCTACATACACTGTGCGAGCAAACATTTTCCGACTGTCCCCAAGCTCCAGCAGAATGATCTTGGCCAGCTTGGGCAGCTCCTCCTCGTACATGTCCATTTCACGGACATAGACGCCATATTGCTCCAGCAAGTGAGCAGCCGGATCCTTGTCGGCGAATGTGGTCTTCACAATAAAGTTGTCTGTATGCTGGCACAGATCCTTGTCTGTGTACTCAACGATGATCCTCGTCATGACGCTTGCATAGTTCTCCCCATTAGCCGTGGCCGGCTGGATGTGCAGCTTCTGAAGCCGCAGCTTCGACTCCTTAAGATAGTTTCGCATCCTCTGCTGGACGTATTCGCGGGTGAGCCAATCCGGAGCTGCCAGTACCTTTAGGTTTGCGTAGGAGCTTTGCTTGGGCATGATGATCAAACTGTATCCACGGATATCAAGCGCTTCTGAGCTGCGTATGTGGAGTTGATTGCCTTTTATACGACGCTGGGTGTCAAGAGAAAAGAGCTGGACTATGTATATATACAAATATATCTAGCTAGACTTTACAGCTCTAATTGTCGCTCGCGACTGCACTCGTCATCGTCGTAACTCAATTGAGGCTGCCGGAGGTAGTATACTAATGCCTTATCATAGGCGAGCGTCTGGGATTTATACTAAGATTCAAACAAGATTGTTCATTATTTATTCTAGTATCGCGCTCTCGGTAAATACTTTTACTCGCCC